TAATTTTTAGAGTATGTTTTAGGACTCAAAGTCCTTGTACGGACAAATGGAGATTTCAATTTGGGGGTCAATATTTTAACAATTAAATCTTTATTTTAGTTATTATCATGAAAACAACATCTATGTTTGCAATCCCCAGGTAGGAATAACTCACAGCAGTAACCTGAGTTCTTCCAGTATGTTTAGCACAGACTGATCTGGTTATTGAAATCTGATTCAAAGGACACTTAGCAATGTAGAATCTCATGTCATAAAAGTAATACATGCTCATTGTAGCAAACTTAGACATGCACAAAACATGCTGGAAAAGCAAACTACCTGTAATGGTGTTTCTGAAAAAAAGATCACTATAGTGACTTTTATACTTTTTTATATAAATTATGTTATTTGCACTTAATATTTATTGAGTATAAAATAATTTTCAAAGCTCTGTGGACTGCTAAAGTGTTAATAATCAAACAAAGAGTCATAAGACTAGGCAATGTAGAGAAAACTGTCAATGCCAAGTCCATGGAAACTACCAAGCCAAGTCCATGAAAACAGTCAGGCCGAGTCCATGGAAACTGCCATGCCAAGTCCATGGAGATGCCTGAGGTCATAGTTTGTATTACTCATTCATTCAAGAGTTAACCAAAATATGAATTTAATAAAATACACCCAATCTTTGTCCAGTTGAAGAAACTATATAAGGTAGCTTTCAGGTGATTGGGATTCTCTATAGCAACAATTTTGGAAGATGATGCTATAGAAAGAAACATGGTTCTAAATCAGAAATTAAGACAGGAGAAAGAATAGTACAAGGATTGCTACAGTGATTTCCAGGCTTGGTCCATTAAGGACCCAAAGACAGTGTGATTCAGACAGTTCAGTGGTGTGGACCAGTGAGTCTCTACAAGCCTAAGTTTCACCTCTGAAGCAGGAATGGGTAAATCAAGAGATGTGAATGCCCTTCCAGGACATGCATATAGTTATGAGGTCTATAGCTCTGTATTTAAAACTATGCAAATTTAAGTATCTACTTCTGAATTTATGATGATGAGCCTACAAACCTGGGAGTGTATCTGATTTACTGGTTGTACCAGAAAACTGTATTTAATCAACAAATAACACACTGAATTTGGTTAGTCTTCATTTGGATGACTTCATATTAACACTAGATCACTAGTTATTATGCTGCCTTATAAAAATGTCTTAGAACAATCATTGAGCTAAAGGCCAGAATACTTGATTTTCATCACAATTCTGTTATTAATAAATCATCTTTCTTTGGTGAAGTCAATTAGGGTCTTCTCATTTTTTGAATACTCTGGCAGACTATATGTCCAAAATTTCCACCCAAGTTCATAAAATGTGATTGTATGACTAACTCAGTTCAATAATTCACTGATACCAATTTCTAATATTTATTCTAAAATCCCAAGTCAAGCAAAGTATAAGAAAATGAGATACACTTAATTTTGAATTCCCAATAAACTTTATATAATATATAAAAATGTACGAGAAAATGAGCTAAAAGATTTTAACATTCATACTTCTAAATATATATGAGAGAAAAAAATTTTACATGCTAAATATGTACATATGAAAAATCACATTGGAAGTCACATATAATTACCATTTGTTTGGTGATTTGCAGCTTTCAAAGAGGACTCTGCCTTACAAAGAAAGACAGAAGTGAGAAGAAAATCAGTTAGAGACCCGGCAAATACTTTCAATGAGAAAAAGCTAAGCTAGCATGGTCGCAGTGAGGACCGCAACAAAGGAGTAAATTCCAGAATACACTCCAGTTGGAGGAGAGTAGACTGTGCTCTGATTTATGGAGTGTTCAGTCAGGTAGATGAAGAAGATGGCATTCAGTGAGGTGGGGAAGACTGGATGTGAATCCTCTTGGGAAAAAGCTCCCAGCTAGCCTTAATCATCTTTATAAATCATTTTAAATAGCCTGTCTGCTCTAGGGATCTGGAGCTCTGAATGGAGTTTGGGAGAAAGGTTCAGCTTATGAGTGTTTGTCATAGGTTCTGGTAACAGACTTGTGTGTGGGTGCACACATGTGAGTGTACATATGAAGAAAATGATGATGATGTTAGGGGAGGCTCCAGAGTTGGCCCTAAAGGAATGTAAGCATTCAATTTCAAAAAAGGAAGTTGCCAACATATACAAATTAGAAAAGAAACAGCTAAAAAAAACCAAGGCAACCAGTGGAATACAGTGTCACAGGAGCAGAAAGCAAAGTATTTTCAGAAGGACTGTGCCCAAGGGTACTAAAAGCCATGGAGCAGAGGAGCTTGAAAATGCTCCCTGGGATCTCATGGGTAATTAAAGTAAAGAGGGAGGGACACAGGCGAATTGACAATTAGCTAAGGGTGCCTCAAACAAGGGACCAAATAAAAGGAAGTATACATAATAACACACACACACACACACACACACACACACACACACACACACACAGGCCTACAAAAGTTAATTGGAAAAAGTGGTAAGACAATGAATTAACGATGAGATTAGAGCATATTCCAATGTTACTAGGAAAGTTCATAAAAAGGAGGTCAAAATTCAAGGGAGATGAAAAAAATATAAACCAAGTTGTGACTCTCCCTTTAGAATCTGAATATTCTTCAATGTGCTCTACCAAGACCTCCTTGAAGAGCATTTGTCCATCTCTGGAGTCTTCTCTTCTTTCTTTCCTGAGGTACACATGTAAGATTTCTCTCAGGATCTCAGCTTTTGAACCCTTGAATAATCTAAGTTTCTTCCCTCTATTCTTTGTCTGGCTGACCCATTTCAGCTTGTGTCTTAGGGTTTTATTGCTATGAAGAGACATCATGACCACAGCAACTCTTACAAAGGAAACATTTAATTAGGGCTGGCTTACAGTTCAGAGGTTTAGTCTATTATTGTCATGGCAATGTGCAGGCAGACAGGGTGATGGAGAAGGACTTGAGTGTTCTACAGCCAGAAAGGCAGGCAGCAGGAAGTGAATGCCATACTAGGTGTGGCTTGAGAATCTGAGAACTCAAAGCCAGTCCTCAGTGACCACTTCCTCCAACAAAGCCACAGCTTCTCATAGTGACACTCCCTATGGGCCTGTGGAAGCCATTTTCTTTCAAACCACCACATCTATTCAAATCCTTCAGGTCCTTCCTGATCATCTATTGAATCCAAAACTATCCCTATCTTCACACGTTGGCTATTTTTCCTCAATTTGGTCTGTGCCCCCATTAGTTTTGTCTATAAACTTGGCACAACCTAAAATCACCTGGGACACGTGTCTTAATGAGGAATTAGCTATATCAGGTTGGCCTATGGATATTTTTGAAGGGTTGTCTTGATTGTTGGTTGTTGTAGGAAGATCAAGCCCATTGTGGGCAGTACCATTCCTTAAGCAGAGGGTCCTGAGCAGTATGAGAAGAGCAGTATGAGAAGAGCAGTATGTGCAGAAGCAAGCAAGCAATGGTCCATGCAGTTTTCTCGGCTCTTGATTATGGAATGTCATATTACTCGCTGCTTCAATCTCCTATCACAGTGATTTTCTTGCTACCGTGGTCTGTAACCTGGAATTGTAAGCTAAATAAATTCTTTCTCCTCTGAGTTGTTTCTTGGTCAGGGCATTTGTCACAGCAACAGAAATAAGACCTTAATCTTAGTGTTTTCAGAGAAGAATATGCCAAATACACAGTCTAAGTGAATGAACCCCTTTTTCTAGCCTCATGCATTCACCCTCTTAACTTTTAACAGAGCACTTCTTATCTTGTATTTTCTCATTTATATATTTTTTTCTCCAGGCTTACGTAGAAAGCAACTCATCTTCTTCAAAGCCTAATGTGAACAGAGTGTCTAATGCACACAGGTGCTTTATTGGTTGACTAAATATTAAGCTGATTTTCTTAAAGGGAGCATGATTATAAATTTGGGTCACAATTATTATACATCTATAGGTAATGGATTTGAAGATAAAGATGAAGATTATTGTAATATTTTTATAAATCTTTAATAAATATTTTAGTATTTTAAAACTCTTATAGTAATAACTTATACTACCCAATAATAGTAGTCCAGAAAGTACATAGTCCAGATTAAAAATTTACTAAGGATAATTTATTTCTTAGGAAATAAAAAACACATATTAAACAAACATATGCTAAGCTGTGTACTACCATTCTAAGTATATAGGGATAAAAACCAAATGTAGTAGACTGGAAAGTGGCAATTCAAAGATGAGTAAGCGAACATAATACAGAAAATAACAATATTGTGCTTTAAAAAGGCTATTACAGAGTGTGAAGAAAATAATAAGAGGTCAGTTTGTTGTCAAACCTCTGGGTCATAAAATCTCTCTTCTCAGAATTTAGACACCTTCCAAATGCTTCTCTTCATCCTGAGGGCAAATCATTAACATGAAGTTCCCCTTCCCTGCTATATAACACCTTTTCCCAAATCAAATAAAAGCCTTTCTCACAAAGAAGGGGAGAGGAGGCTACCGAGCCAGCGTTCAGTGTCACAATTAAGCTTTGGCTGTGACAGGAGGCGGCTGCCATAAGCAAAGAAGCAGAGAAAAGAAAAAAAAAAAAAAAAACGGCTGTGAGATGTCAGTTTATTGTTTGTGGAAGGGGCTAAAGATGAGAAAATAGCTCTTTTCGAGTTGTAAGAGTCTATAAAGCAGAGTAACTCAGAAAGCACTGGCAAGGAATACTGAGAAAATAATACCCAAAATAAATAGCAATGGAAATTGTGTTGAACCAAACATGACCTTTGGAAAGAGAGGAAGGATTTTGCATATCTAAGAATATCGCATCATAGCACTCTCTGAAAGATTAAAGCTATTTCAATATTTTCCCATTTATTTAATGTAAGCAGTATGGCTTGCACTGACAAAATGTCACATTTCTTCCTTAGGTGCTATTATACACAGACGGGACATGAGGTTCCTATCGGTTGTTCAAAGTCATTCTTAAAGAGCAAAATAAAATCTGATTATAAATATTGGAAATGCTTGTCTGCCTGACAGCCTTTACTTTCGAATACTTCTTCAAGCATATGAGCATATAGTGCCTTTTGAAGGAATGGGAAGCATCTTCTGATATGCCACAGTCACATAGTAATGAGGAAGCAAATGAGTCACTGCTCAGAAAATGCAACATCTACTTAGATGCCATGGGTCAGCTGATCAATCAAAAGGAGATGAAAACAGAGGGCAAAGTATTATTCTGTCCAGAAAATAAATCTAACATCTCTCTCTCTCTCTCTCTCTCTCTCTCTCTCTCTCTCTCTCTCTCATCTATTTACCTACCTATCCATCTCTCTCTCTCTCATCTACTTACCTACCTATCCATCTCTCTCTCTCTCATCTACTTACCTACCTATCCATCTATCTATCTATCTATCTATCTATCTATCTATCTATCTATCTATCTACTATCTATCTATCTATCTATCTATCTATCTATCTATCTACTATCTATCTGTCTATCTATTATCTATCTTTATCTAAATCTATCCTCACATATGTAAATATAACAAAATACAAATTAATATGAAACTCAGGACACAAAATATTAAACTCCAAACTCTTTAAAAGCCCTAAGAAGAAGAATATCCTTAAAATGTAATGGATAAAATGAATAAAAATTCAGTGACATTGAGCTAATGGCAATTACTAATTTTTGTTTTCCAAAGAAACTCCCAAAGTCATTAGTTCAGAGCAGGTAAGATGGCTCAGCAGGTCAAGAACTTGCCCCCAGGCCCGACCACTTGAGTTTAATCTGCGAGACACACATGGTGCAAGGAGAGAACTCATTCTTGCAACTTGTCCTCTGACCACCATGGGGGTGCTCTGTGACAGGGCATGACTCTGTCCCCCACGTACACAAAATAAATAAACACCACTTTTTTAAAAAAAGACCTCATTCATACCATGCTAATTCCTTTTATCCTTATTTTGACATAATAAGCGATGCTGATTTATTAGAACATAATGTGGTGTGGTGTAACTAGATTTTTATCATTCAGTGTGTACCTTTTAGAAACCAAGGGCCTTTTAATGTAACATATTTTTGAAAACTATTTCATACGTGAAATCAAATGCAGTTTCCCCAGAGATTAATTAATTAATGAATTAGTTAATGTTTGAGAGAGGGACTCACTATTTCTCCCGGGCTAGCCTGGAACTCTATGTGGACCAGGATGCCCCCAAACTCTCCGAGATTCACCTGTCTCAGTCATTTTTGTGTCAGAATTGCAGGCATTATCTAAGTCAGCTCTACAGTAATGTCTAGAAGGAAAACAAAGGAACTTTGCGTTTTTCTTGCCTCCCTATAGTGCCCTCTTTCCATGTCTTCTATCTGTTTCTTCCAATGCTTGCTAGAAGCAATGTCAAGCCTGATCTTTGGCTGTGAAGGACCTCGTCTTTTCTACCATCTCATACTGGGCAAGAGTGAGGCATTTCTAGATTGTTCTGTGCTCATCCCATTTTCTTGAATTTTGAGGTAAAAAAATAGATTGCTAAAACTCCTCTGCTTTAGCTAACTAGATATAAGACATTTTATAATTTTGAACTCCCCAACACATGGTGTGCTTTCGAGCTATTGCTTAAATTGTCCAGGCTTCAGGTTTTAAGACCACATTATTAATTTCCTCACATTTATGATCTTGGCATATTTTATATTTAATCTTTTATGAAGAATAATTTGACTTTATCTTGGGCTGTGTTTGTGCTAGGCCATCAAATCAGGTGGTGACCCAGTGGGATCAACGAGGACATTAAAACGACTGCAGAAATGGCTGTGGATCAAAAAAGCCAGAGTGCAGAGCCTGAAAGAGATGAAGCCGGTGTTAATAGAGCCCCGTGAGTAAGCTCAGCAAATGGTCCAATGTCTCTGAAGAAGGACTGGCCACTCTTTTTTTTTTTTCATTTTTCTTTATTAAGAAATTTTCTACTCACTCCACATACCACCCACAGATTCCCCCCGTCTTCCCTCCTCCCAATCCCCAGCCTTCTCTCCCAAGCCACCCCACATCCCCACATCCCCACATCCCCACATCCCCACATCCCCACATCCCCACATCCCCACATCCCCCAAATCAAGGTCTCCCATGGGGAGAGTCAGCAGAGCCCGGCACACTGAGCCTAGGCAGGTCCAGGCCCCTTCCCACTGCACCATAGCTGCGCAAGGCGCCACACCACAGGCACCAGATTCCAGAAGCCTGCCCATGCACCAGGGACAGATCCCGATCCCTCTGTCTGGATGCTCCCCAAATAGTTCTAGCCAAACAACCATCTTCTATATCCAGAGGGCCTAGTCCAGTCCCATGGGGGTTCCACAGCCAGTTCATGGGCTTCCACTAGTGTGGCCGGTCATCTCTGCACATTTTCCCATCATGATCTGGATGTCCCCCACCTGCAGAATCCTTTCTCTCTCATCAGTTGGATTCCCAGAGCTCAACCTGGTACCTGGCTGTGGATCTCTGCATCTGCCTCCATCAGTTACTAGACAAAAGCTCTATGATGACAGCTACGTTTTTTGATAAACCAGTCACCAGATTAGACTAGTCCAGGCACCCTCTGGACCACTGCCAGCAGACCAAGGTGGGGTCAACCTTGTAAATTCCTGAGAGCCTCCCCAGAACCCTGCCTCTTCCTGTTCCCATGATGTTCTCATCTATCATGGTATCTCCCTCCCTGCCCTCCCACTTTGTCCCTGTTCCATCTTGACCCTCTCATTTCCCTATGTTCTCATCCCCCACTCCTTGCCCTCTGCCCCCCCCTCCCCTCCCCCCGACACACCGAGTCTGTTAATGTAGATCTCATCCACTTCTCCTTTGCAGGGTCATCCATGTGTCCCTCCTAGGGTCTTTCCCTGTAGCTAGCCTCTCTGGAGCTGTGGGTTGCAGTCTGGATTGGCCACTCTTATATTAGGGAAATCTGCTTCGATAAAGTCTTAACGGAATTATTGACCTTCGAGCTCTTCTTTATTGTTATTTGAAAACAGAAATCCTAACCGCAATTTCTGAATTTCACCCCATCGCTTCCTCATAACCAATCAGGTGAGAGTGAGGTGGATGAAGTTCAGAGGAACAATAAGGGTTAATGATGTCCTCTGTTTCCATTTCCAGGACGTAGAAGACAGTATTTGTAAATTTTCTTATGTGAGTGGAGAAAGGTGCTATGCCTGTGTCATGCAATGCTGATATGTCATTTTTTATTTATAAAACTCTGTACACCATATTTTTGCTTGCACTAGTTGAGATTCAAATATAGAGCAATTATCCTCGAGTTATTCACATTTTTGTATTTGTAATTATTTCATATATGACAGTAGCCCCTCTTCATATGCACTTTTGTTTTCCACAGTTTAAATTGGCCATAATTAACTCATGGCAGAAAATATTAATGGAAAGTCTCAGAAATAAACAATTTATAAATGCTGATGTCTGACGATGCCCTGGTCCTTCTATTCAGTGACACAAATCACTCCTTTCTACAGTATATATTCTTTATAGGCTATGTGTACCATAAGAGAGAGAGAGAGAGAAAGAGAGAGAGAAAACATTCATGTAACTTTTAATGCAGCATATTATTTTAACTGCATATTGCATTAATATTGTGAGTGTCTGTGTCTACTTCATAAATTAAACTTAATCAATTATAATCTATATAAGCTTGCACACTACCCACAGTTGGATCAACAAGGTCTTGGGAACAATCCCCTGAGGACAAGGGTTATTTCGTCAAGCTCATTGCCACCTTTCCACATAGAAATCTTACTAATGCACTTCATAATACTGAAGAGGTGCTTCCTTTTTCTGCTTTCCTCCATGTTTTTGTTGATACTGCAAAATATTTCAGTGAGATATATCTCATGCAAAAATATCGATGAAGAAAAATATTAAAATAGAAAAATCTAAATGCAAAATATTATTTCAGTACCATCTACTGGGATTTCAGTTCTTTAAGTGAGGCAAATGATTTGATTTTTTTCTTAGTGATGATTTTTTATACATATGGCTTCAGATTTTAAAATATTTATGACTAGAAACACTCCAAGTTATGCTTATAGAATGTGGATATGTTTTTTAATTTGTAGTTTTTCCTCAAGTGTCTTTCAATATGCCCTTTGCATATAGGACTATTCATTTAAATCTTATTAATGTTAATCAACAGATACCATTTCAAACAGTTTGAGGAAAATGTGACTTTCATAAAACAACTTTGCACACCAAAAGTACTTATTTTTTAAAAGAATCAGATGATTATAAATTGCTTTGTGAAATTTAACAATCTCCTGTCTTATCCCATGCTGTTCATCCACGTCTATTAAACAGAAAGCACAGTACATACACTTTCTACATGTAATGAATCATTAGTCTTGAGTTTTTTTTTTTTTTTTTTTTTTTTTTTTTTTTTTTTTTTTTTTTTTTTGGTTTTTCGAGACAGGGTTTCTCTGTGTAGCTTTGCGCCTTTCCTGGAACTCGCTTTGGAGACCAGGCTGGCCTCGAACTCACAGAGATCCGCCTACCTCTGCCTCCCGAGTGCTGGGATTAAAGGCGTGCGCCACCACCGCCCGGCTTAGTCTTGAGTTTTAACTCATGTTCTTTCATCATCAGGTGGTGATGACACAATGCTATCCTGTGTGAAATTAACCAAATCCCAAGAGAAGAAAGATGTTAACATGTACATGAGGAAATGGGAAGAACTGGATGCTGGACTGGAGTCTCCTTCTGCACCCGGGGATAGACCCAGCGCTTCAAATGGGCACATCCTGGAAGACACAGTGTCTCCTTATGAAGCTGGAGTTACACTGTGGAAGACCTGGAAACCGTTTCCAGAAAACCCAACCTGGTCAGGTGTTGATTTTCCAATTGCCCAAGGAGGCCACTGGGGCGGCTGTTGCTCCTGCGGTCACCAACTGCGTCTCAAGTCTTCTTACACAGATATGGATCTCTCGAATACATGGGTAAGTTTTCTTTAAAAGCATAATAAGTCCATCTTCTTAATCTGAAGCTTTGTACCAGTGTGGGGAAAGAGATAACAAGGGTGTTGATTAGCCATGTTAATCATAATCAGGAAAATCACCAGAGCTGGGGTTGACTTTCCAAAGAGCAGATACGTGCCCGTGGCTTTTACCATTTGCTAATGCTGTATCTATTCTTTGGTGGGTGAGTATACTACAGCACGGGATTTCGCAGAAGCTTCTCTTTAGGTGAATGTGGATTTCAGCTACTGATCAGGGTCAAGGAAATGTTCTTTGTGTTGTCTAAACACTGCTGTTTTGATGAGGTTTCACTGCTCAATAGTAGCCACCATTAAGGAGGATTTTTTTTTTCTGTCATTCTCAAGAGCCTTTCACATGAATTAAATCGTCTCAATCACACAATAACTAGATAAAGGTAAGGGCTTACTATAATATTCTGCTACTAACCTCTCCCTATTGTTGCGTAAATATGGAACCTGCAGCGTAGAAATGTTTGGAAAAATGTGAAGCGAAAAAGCTAAAGGGATATGAGGCCATGATCAGGAATTCATGTGGTCATATACTGGAGAAGATATTTTTAATTAATGTTTTATTGTGTTTCCTGTACACTAAGTTACACTCTAGGATTATGGAATATTTGAGAAAGAATTGATAAAGATTACTATAGAATTTATATTTGAGAAAGAATTTATAAAGAATATTTGAGAAGGAATATCGCAAAGGAAGACTTTATAAACAGACAAATTTGATTTGGTTTCTAGCTCTGCTACTTTTCAGTTTAGACAAATTACTCAAGCCATTTTATCTTAATTTTTTGACTGTCAAATGAGCATAGTAATATTGAATTCACAAGGTATCTGAGAAGACAAAATTAAATACCATAAATCCTCTAGGACTTAAGGGTGTCTGGTCTTGTTAGCGTGGTTCTAAGTTCCTTCCTTAGGTGTGGATTATACCTTAATTTCCCTTGAGTTGATTTTGTGTATTCATGTGGGATTAATGGGGCATCTGTGTGTATCTAGGAAGTCTGTTCTATGCCATTTTTCTCTAAAGATTAATCTGTCATTAGATAGGAGCTGTATTTTATAGTGCACTAAGGGTCTCTGAAAATTTCCATTTTTTATGAAATTCTTCCCATGTGCTAAGATTTGCTCATTAAATCTCTAAAGAATGAGGCTGAAGAGACGGCCCAGAAATTAAGAGCTCATACTGTTCTGGACTAAGACGCAAGTTTACTTCCCAGAAAACACGTTTGGTAGATTATAATTGCTTGTAACTCCAGCTCCAGAGAAACTGATGCTTACTGGCCTCCCCGGATACCCACACTCCCATGCACATACTCACACACAGACACCCATGCACACACCAAATTAAATATAAACATAAATATTAAAAATATCTTCAAGGATTAACACTAAGGTCACCTACAATTAAAGTACCATGATGTGTCTCATTGGTGTGGTAACACTGTAAGGAGTGATAGGAATGAAATGAGGGACACTACCTCACAATGATCACCTTTAGGGTGGATCTCATCCTTTTGCTGTCATTCTTTTCTGGGGCAGCTAGACTTGGCAGACATCTCTTCAGCAGCTTCTTCAAGAGTAGCTGTCAATATAATAAATTCGAACCAGCTTTTGAAGACATTGATAGCTTCAGAAGCAAGATCAAAGATGTTGATTCTTTAGCAAATGACAAAGCTGATATATGGCATACTAAACTGAAATGCCCAGAGATTTCTTCAAGAAGAAAATCTGCACCCCCTAACACAGGGATCTCTAGATTCAGCAGCCTGGCTTCAATCTAATTTTTTCAGGCTCATCTAATTACTGTCCTTTACAGTTTTCCTGTGCTGAACTGCCAAAGTGACAATTTGATATTTCTAAAAGCTGCCTTGTGCTTTCCTGCCTCTGTGTCTTTGTGTCTGTGTGATGGTCTCTTCCTGGTGTGCCATTGGCATGCCACTTTCTTTTAGAGTCATTTCTCTAGCCGAAGAACTCACATTAAATTCTTTGTCCTTTAGAAAGCCTTGTTGGGCCATGCCAGATCGACTCCTAGGTCATTACCATACTGCTTTGTTATTTATCCATCAGACACATATTAATACCTACTATGTGGCATTACAAAATTGGGCACTAGGTTAGAGAGTTAAAAACGTGTATTGACTTCATAGAGGTTTCCTTATTCTACCAAATACAGTATTTGTTAAGCATTTCTTTACTTCCTGTAAGTAATTTGTAAGTCCATCATCCCTAGAATAGAATGAAATAAATGTAAGAGCAACATATGCTGCTTAAAATGAACATAGTTTTAAAAACCAATGGACTTTGTTTCTAATTTTACTTTCTTAGAAAATTTCTAAATTATCTATTTATTTTATATATGTGAGTGTTTTAGGAAACGGTGTCAGGTCCCCAAGGATTGGCATTACAGAGGGCTATAAGCCACCATGTGGCGGAGGAAGCAAACCGGTGTCCTCTGGCAGAGCAGTCAATGCTTTAAGCTATGAAGTATCTTCCCATGCCTTGTTTCTAAATATCTTGATAACAGCAATTCTTCTTGCTGTTCTGTCCATACAACCAAAGTTTTTCTAATGAATCCAGCTATTCGTGAATTTAGGGTTTGGTACATAAGAGTGCTTGTGGTAGATAAGCACAGGGGTATCATTGTCTCCTTCTTATTTAGAGGGTCTTACGTGATTTAGTACATAACTGAGTGGCTGAGTTTATCTGCCAGAAGGTTAAACATATCTGCTGAATACTTGGAATTTTAAATGGTAACGTTAAGCATTCACGACAGGATGGCCTCAGTGGGTTTGGAGAATGAGTCAAGATTATGCTAGAGTTAAATTGGTTTGGTAAACTTAATGAGACCACTTACACTCAGGGACTTGAGACACTGGAGTGAAAGAAGTGAGATGAGTGCAAATTATTATTTTTATATTCTACACCTATATACCATAATGATAACAAGTGACAACTATGCTGCTTCATTTTAGCAGAGCTGGTATTTTTTTCTGTAGTGATTGCAGAGTTATTATTTGGGTTATTTAACTTTCATTCTACAAAATGGGAAGGCAGAGAGAATTAAAGGAAAAGATGTACTCCTGAAATGAGTGTTACTATTAACAACAGGAGTCAGAAGTGACACTTCTGAAATTTTAGGGTAAAAGTATGACTAGATTTTTTTAAGTGCACCAGCATGCTCAGACATGGTGGAGCTGGGTCTGAGTTCCGCAGCGCAGATCTAACATAGACCCACTCCAATTTGACCCTATGAAGTCCCTTTTAGGCTTAGGTTTTCAAGGCTGGCTCTAAAGAGCCAGCCTTGCACAGACATGAACATGAGAGTGAACCTGAGTGAACTTCCCCTTTAATTCACTAACTCCAAGTATATACAGAAGTGGCAGTCCCTACTAGGGCCATTGCTCCTTAATGAATCTGCATATCCAAAGTAGCCATTTGCATGGGAAAGTTGTCAATATCTCCTAAACAGGATTCCTGAGATGACTAAGTGAAATGTGTTAGTTTTATTTGGTTGTGAATATGAGCAAACAGAATCAGACATGGAAATGCATTGTTTGTGAAGGGTCCTTCCCAGAAGTCAACAGGTGAATGAGACACAGAGATGTCTAACAGACAGTTCAGTTGCAAGGTTTGAAGGGCCCAAAGAGTGGGAAAAGATAAGTGACTATGGAATTGATACACGCCGAAATGGGTAAAGGATACGTGCTTAGATTTATAAAAGCATACACTCTGCAAGAGAAACATCCAATGGAAAAAACGCTAATGTCCCTCTTTTCTAACATCTTTTCTGAGATGAGTGCTTTTGAAAAGGGATTTTTAGATGCATATGAAAAAAGATAATGATGCAGGCAATCCAAAATGATGCTTGAAGCCAAGTGTTTCGAGTCAATTCCTAAGAGAGACTGAAGGATACTTATGGTACTTTGAACACTAAGAGCTTGGAACATCTAAGAGGGAAGTGAGGGAACATGAGCTATGGGCTCCAAAGTGACTATGGGTAAGAAAGCAAAGCGTTTGTGTTTTACCAAAAAGGTGAGACCTATCTGTAGTAGAATATTATTAGAAGAGCAAACATAAGTTTGGTAATCTATGTGACATTTTTCAGATTGATACAAAGAATAGATAAAATATTTTTATCATATTAAGAAATAAAAGTGCGTCAGCAAGATGAGTTAACAGGTAAAAGCACTTAGAACGAAGCCTGACTACCGGAGTTGAGTTCTTGAAACCCATAAGAAGGAAGATGAAAACTTATTCTCACAAGCTGTCCTCTGCCTTCCCCATAAACACTGTGGCATGTCCATGCACACACACACACACACACACACACACACACACACACACACACACACACACACACACAGAGAGAGAGAGAGAGAGAGAGAGAGAGAGAGAGAGAGAGAGAGAGAGAGAGAGCACAACACACATATACACACATAAATAAAGGTAATTTAAAAAAGAAATAGAAGGGATTTAGATTTAAAAAAGTGAGCTGTATACAGTTCTGTCTTTACAGCTTGGCACAGTTTAGTGTCTTCTAGGATGAAGGAACCAAAGTTGAAGAATTGCCTCATCAGAATGGTCTATGGCCATGTCAGTGAGAGATTCTCTTAGTCGATGATTGAGAGAGGAGTTTTCAACCTACTGTGGGTGGCACTATCAGGAGAGCCAGCTACATATGAACCAAAGAGCAAGGAAGTAAGCTGCATTTCTCCATGGTCTCTGCTTCAGTTTCATTCTTCCCTCAATGATGGACTATTACCTAGAAACATAAGTCAAATAAACATTTTCCTCCCATCACAGTGCTTTCGTTCATGGTGTTTATCACAACAGAAAGCAAACTAGAACACCTACCTAAAATATTTTGAAGTTTATTTTTATAGAAACAATGCAATATGATTTGAAAGTGATAGCAAGAAATGATCTTTGAGGAAGAAGGAGTTCAGAAGCCAGAAAGAATCTAAAGCACAGTGAGAAGTCATAAAGAATCCAAATCAATAAGGGCAGAGAACTGAAAATAAGAGTGACTAATAACTCAACAAAAGTCAAACAGGTAAGGTTTTGACAGAGTATTTGATGCTAGGAGAATAAACAAAGCACTGTGTGAAGGTATCCGAGGATGAGAAAGTCAGCTCACCCAAATAATATAACAAACAGAAGTATGAATAATGGAAATATTTTTAATGAAGCTATTTCAGTGTGAAGAACAGAATCTATGCTAAAGCTATCCAACAACAACAACAACAACAACAACAACAACAACAACAACAACAAAAAGAACAAAACTAACTACTATTTGTCTCCTAGTTGCAATGGGAAACAATGGATTGAAATCATTTTGTAATAGTATTCTTGGAATACACAGTCCTTCTTTTAACGTGGTATACAAATGTACAGACTGCCAAAGAAAACCAGTGGTCAATGAGAAGGATGGTGTACTAGGTAAACCAGTTTCTCTCTAACCCTTTAGCAGTTGAGTGGACTCTTGAGAATGTGCAGAGTTTCCCACGGAACAACCCGAAGTGATTTGTCATCCTCTTCATTTCTTTGTTCTGTAATTCTGGGAATCCTTTCCAATATCATTGATCGTTACCTGACCCTCCAACCAACAGGTCACATTATTGCCTGATTAATTTATCCGACATTTTAATCTGGTCCGTTTGATAGGCTTGAGATACGTAAAACACACCTCTGGGTGTGTCTGGGAGAGCAGTTTCAGAGATAATCAGATCATGAGAATTCTTACGTAAGTAACCAATAATTTATGCATTGGTGGATTCAAACTTTTATTACACTACTCAGACATGACAGAATCGTGGAAGACGATGCCTGGATGGAGTAGGGTACTCCCTTATGTTGTGGCTTGACTCTTTTCCAGCTGCTAAGGTGTGTAGTGCACTGCTCCACCACACCCTCCCAGGCTCTGTGGACTACCTCTGAAGCCATGCACAGAACAAGGTCTTCCCCCTTGAGTTATTTCTGTCGCCTCTGTTTATCAGTGACAAGAAATCTAATACAACCATTTTAAGTGAATGATTCCACTTGACTAACAATCCTGAAGTGCACATCTAATGGGACTGAAATCTATAGGGCTAGGGATAAACTGATTCATCAAATATGCCCTTATCAGGCCCCTGTGGGCATCACACAAAGGTGTGTGGTATCTCTCCTAATTTTTCGTATATGGGCTACTTCCTCAGTTTTGCCTTTCATTGCTATTTATTTGATGGCTTTTTAAGCGTTTAAACTACCAGGCAAATAGGTAAGAATTCAAGGAATGCCCTACCAATTAAAAATCATGATGGAAAGGAACCGTATATAAGGGGGATGCACAAAGGATGCAGAGTGGTAGAGAGAGAAGTTAAAAGGGCAAATTTAACTTCACAGAATTTTCTTCTTCTTCTTAGTGATGTCAGGTCCTTACCAAAGCTGTCTGTGGGCTCACAGAAAGGAATGTTTTTGACTCAATTAATATTAACATATGATAAGAAGACAGCTCACACATCTGTCTGGAGGAAAGCAGGGTATACACCATCAGTGAATAATTCCTCACACTTTAGCATGCCATGCTTCAACTCTAAG